CTGCTGTCTCCGGAGCCCTGACAGCTGGTTTTCCCTTGGCGCTGTGCATGACTCTTCTTCAGGAGGTACACGATTGAACTGACATTAATATTAATCCTCTTCCTCTAGACTACACTTGCAAAAGTGACTTTTGACACTTTCTAGTAATTAGGGAGAGAGTGGATGTCGTAAAAGACTCTTAAGAAGGAGAGGAGAGGTGAACCTGGACTCCGGAGCCCTGACAGCTGGTTTTCCCTTGGCGCTGTGCATGACTCTTCTTCAGGAGGTACACGATTGAACTGACATTAATATTAATCCTCTTCCTCTAGACTACACTTGCAAAAGTGACTTTTGACACTTTCTAGTAATTAGGGAGAGAGTGGATGTCGTAAAAGACTCTTAAGAAGGAGAGGAGAGGTGAACCTGGACGGACACGTTAATCCTTCCCGAACAAAGATGTAAATTGCCACACTTGCTTTTATGGAGGAAAAAACCTCTGCAGCAAACAGGAAGGCAGAGCGAAGGCTGAGGAGTGTGAGGAGCCTTCACCCTGTCTGGGCTGTCAGTTGCTGCCTTGGGGATTGCTTCCTAATCTCAGTTCTGGCAGTGCTGAGCCTAGGAGGGAGCTGCTTCTGCTCTGGGCACAATGCAGTTTGGGTGGCAGACACTGAGATTTGAGGTTCTGGCTGCTCTCTGACACTGGAGAGCCATTTTTAATGAAGTTGGTGTTTGCTGTTTGAGTTTCTAGCAGCAGGATCAGATTAGATGTGTTTTGCATGATGAGGGCTATTTGTTTTGGTGGGATCATGTTGCTCTGCTTGAGTTTGCAGGACCTCAGTTTACTCTTGGAATTTGATTGAAAATGAGACTTTTTGTTGCTGCTGCTTCCAGCTCTTCTGTTTCATCCTTTGTTGGCTGAACCCAGCAAGATGTCTATTTTTTCCCTAGATTTTATTTATTTTTAGCTAACAGCATTTTTCTTAAAAATGTATCCTTCTTCCATGAATAAATGCTTTGGGAATGTCAAAAAAATGAAGTTTATCATCACTGAGCAATGCCAAGATTTGCAGCTGAAGATGCCAGAGCAAGCAGTGTCCCTCTGGCCTTTGGCCCCTGGCTTTTGTCCCATCCTGGTGAATGGGTGGAGGTGCTGCCCATGCAGTGGCACATCTGCTGCTGAAGAGGCTCTTGCCTTGTGCAGTGCTCAGTGCATCCCTCAGGACCTGTCCCTCTACAGCAGGACTTGCATGAGAGAAGCGATGGACCTTGGGCTTTGCCTGTTGCAATGGAGGAAAGATGTGATGGAGAAATTGGTGGGAGGACCCAAATGATACGTCCCATTTAAAAGTCAGCATGGTAAAGCCAAGTAAATCATTCTTGTTATGTCCTTCTGTTGTTACTATTGCTGGGGATGCAAAAGGTTGGAAATTGCAGGCGAAGAACACAGTTATGTTTTAAACTAGTTTAAAGTCTTTATGCAAATTACAAGCATATCCTACTTGATGTGATATGTACATTGCTCTGTTGTAAATCTGCAGCCTCAAATTCTGTCTTTGTTTTCCACCTCCCGCTCCACCTTTTCTGTCCCTCTGTGTCTCCTTACCAGTGTGCAGGTTGGCACAGGAGGCAGTGGAGCGACGCTTGGGATCACTCTGCTTGGCACATCAGTGGACAGAGTGTGTGGGAGCTAAAGCAAGCAGTGTGCTGGTAGATGAGCACAGCTCTCAGGGGCTATTGCTCAGCAATCCTGGCTCTGCCTTCTCACTCCTCTCCTTTGGCCAAGCTGCTTGCTCAGGACAAATTCCAGATATGTCATCAACTTGCCCCAACAGTAATTGCAGCGATACTGATGAATGGAGTTGGTTTCCTCTCCACTCCCAGCAATTCCAACTCCTAACACAAATTTTTCTGTCCTTCTTGTGTCTCTCCAGGGACTGATCTGCAGGTATGTATCCCAAAGGGCTCCACATGCTGCTCGAGGAAGATGGAAGAGAAGTACCAGGCAACAGCTCGTCTGAACATGGAGCAGCTCCTGCAGTCTGCCAGCATGGAGCTGAAGTTCCTTGTCATCCAGAACGCTGCAGTCTTCCAAGGTGAGTGCTGGGGCTGGTCCAGTGATGTGCAAGATTCAGTGACTCAGCACCAGGCAATTGGAAGGGGGCTGGAAGTTTTCTGTTCCCTTGTTTTCATGTTTGTGTATATTATATATGCTTATTTGTTTATAATATTACACCTGGTTTAGTTTATGGTTGCTCTGTGGGGCTTGTCCTAGATATTCCTGTAGCTGTAACAGCAAATGTAAATTTAAAGACTCAACCTCTTGAAGTGCAAATTTAAAAATAAATGAAAAACTCACTTCTCCAAGAATTAAAATCTCTGTGCAAGTCTTGTCTGATTCTGCCAGCCCCAAAATGCATGTTGCAGTGATATGATTGGGTTGTCACCTCAGTGTAAGGCTTGGTAAGATCTGACTCAACTGTGAGCATTAGTTATTGTTATCCACTGAAAACAAGACTGGTTATTCCATGGGAAGGTGGGCAGAGGCTGCTTTGTTCACAAATGTGGTTCCTGGTGCTCCATGGAGTATTTGAGTTCTTGGTGATCTGATGAGCTACTGTCCATGGCAACTCTCTTTCTAATGAAAATGTGATGTGTTTGGTTTTTGTTTAATTTTTATTTCCCCAAAATGGCTCTTTGATGAATATTTTTTTAGTATGGATACACACTACTTAGTGCCACTTAAATCTGCAATCATATTTTTCTAAGGTCCTTTACACAAGCAAAACTTATTCCATCCGTGGTTAATGTGCAGTGAAATGATTGCTTGTTTGTTGAGTGCTGTGCTATTGATGTTCCATCGTTCTGTATTAATGGTGCTTTTGCCTATATTTAAAAAAGAAGTCATGAGCAATCAAGTGTTTTTTCCTTCATGATAATATTTTTGCAGAATAATCCATTTATTTTTGTTCATGCCTCGCTAATAGCCAGACCCAAGGCCTGCTGAAGCATAGGAGATCACAGCAGAGCTCTGTTCTGGGCCACAACTGACTGATGAAGTCTAATGTGTTGTTTTCCTCAATGTAAGATCAAATAAATCGCAGAGGAGATAACTGTATGGGTTTTTTTCCTTCAGTACTTCTTAATGCAGTGACCATTAAGTTCCAGTTCTAATAAACTGAATGGAGTAAAACTAATTGAGATTGGTTTCCTAGGCATTGAAGATGTGGACCAGCTTCAGAAATGGTGAACAACCCTGCTGGAATACAAAGTGTCTTCCTCCTTCCTTACCGTTTGACAAAAACTGCAGCATTAGCTTTTATTGTGTGTGTGAACGACACCCTGTGGTACTGCAGGTTGTCCATCACGTAACAGTTGGGTGCTCTGGCTTTGAAAGTTCTGTCTCTTCTGGAAAGAGTTGCTTTGATTTTCCCCCCACCCATGCCTTTTTAAAATTGTTATTTCCATCCTGGCCCATCCCTGGGGAGGGAAAGCATTTAATTGAACAATTCCTGACCACTTCTGCTTATAAAAAAGCTCATGACTAAAAATTGTTTGCAGTCCCATTGCAGAAGAGGAATTCCAAGCTGGAACCATTAAGGAGTTCACTTTAATTATCTTGTACAAAGTGTTTTGGCCTTCAAAGGATGATTCATTAGATTTTGAACATTATTTACTTCTGTTATCTTTAAAATTAATCTGAAAGCTGTAGAAGAACAATTTTTTTAATAGGTTGATCTTTTGATTGCTGCTTGCTCAAGAGTATTTTGATGGCTGCAGTGCCAGAGGCTGTTCCAGCTATAGAAATTGTCCTTGGACCTGACGCACAGTCTGATTTCTTCTTGGCATGGCTCATGGTGGGGGACAGGCTTCTATCTCAAGGCATTGCTAAAGGAACTGGTGCTGAGGTGTAGTGTCCCAAATCAAACCCCACCACTATCCTGTTTGTGTCCTCCCACATTGCCAAGGTATGTGCTGGGCAAGCTGGCTGCAGGTCAGGAAAGCTGGTGCTGCCCTGGCACAGCTGGAGAGTGCAGGATGCCCACTGCAGGGGTGTGCCTGGGGCTGTGCAGGCTGTGCCCAGTTACCCAGGGCCTGCTGGAGTGCTCAGAAAAAAGGAGCTCATGACCACCATTGGAGCCCCTGTGGTCTCTGAGCACCTCCTGCAGGTTCTGCTCTGCTGGTGTCTCTGTCCGAAGCTGGGGACAGATGCCCTGTGGCTTTGGGAACTGGGACTGCAGGAATGGGATAGCTCCAAGCAATACCAGCTCCTGGAGGTGTGCTCTGGCAGGGGAGAAAGCTGTGTGTGTTCCATTGGGTCAGACCCCAGCGTGGTCTGGGGACACTGCACAGAGGAAGGATAATTGCACCACTCTCTAGAGTGAGGAGATGTGTTGGTATGGAAACACAGCTGAACCACTTATATTAAGAACACAAATGTGAAATCCTTCAGAGTTAATTTTAATATTTTCAGGCTGGCATCTAAAGGGACTGCTAGTCTGACAAACAGAATCTCACCCAGATGTTATTATTTTGCACCAAATTTAATTTCTTCCCACTGAAGCTAGAGCAACATCTCTGCTGATAAAGATCAAGGGAAATTGTCTGGCATTTACAGGAAATCTCATCCAGGACTATCTGTTACAATGTTCACTTAGCAAAGTTTATTAGATTATTAGTTTTAGACCCTTGGGCGTTTTCTTTATTGCAGTTAAGAAGGAAAAATCCCAAGCAAAAAAAAAATCCTCCCTTCACTAAATTTAAATGGTACAATTAGCTCCTGGTCTTATCTTGCAGGCATTTTTTTAAAATTATGAAGATGATTTAAGTAGTGATTTAATCTTCGGGAAACTTGCTGCGTTTGACAATGTTAAAATGGATTGTGGCTGCCTTGACTGCAGTTAAATCTTACTCTAGGACTTTTTTGCAGGCAGTTTTGTTGCTCTCATGCAGTGTATCTGTGCTGGTATCTGCTATGTGTCATGCACCTCCTGGTTTGGGTTCTCAGCCACCAGCAGCTCCGTTGTGTTCCGTGAAGCCAGGATGAGTCCCATCACTTCAGAACAGCTCGTGTGCCTTGTCAAGTGACATTTAGTATTGCTGTGGGGATCCTATCCAAACTAACCAGGGAGTTAGTGCAGCTCGCCTGCTGTAGAGAGTGGTGAGAGCCCTGCCTGCAGTTTGCCTTCTCTCTTTTTTCTGACTTCTGTTTTTTGTGGGGGAATTTCTGGCCCTGCCAGCACCTAATCTTTTCCTATTGAAACAAAGACAGCTAAAAAAGCCTTCAATTAATTCTACTGCTTTCCTTAATGTTAAATCTTAATACCTCAACTTTGTGAAAAGTGAACTTGAACAGGAAAATGCCAGTGTGCTTCTTGCTTTGTCCTCAGTCCTCAGAGACAGGTTGTGTGTATGTTCTTCAGTCTGATTCCTCCTGCTTCCCAAGTTTGGGAATTTGCTTTTGAGTGGTCACTTAATTTCCTTTCCTGCATGTTGACTACTTTGCACTGTGGATAAGAGAAAATTAAAGCTTTGGCAGCTGCTCAGATGCAGCTTTTGTGGTACATTCCTCCTGGTTCTTTGTCCAAGGGAAGAGGTACTTTAAAAAGTGGAAAGACTGCAACACAACTAGACATAGAGGGAAGAGGAGATCTGCATCCATTGCTTTGTGTCAGGCTTCCTGGTAATCTCCCCTCTCCATGAAGTGAGAAGCACAGGAAGAGGAGAGCTGACTGCTAGGGGCTACTTCTGCAGGAGTAGTGCCATGTGCTCTTGGGGAGAGTTGCTTTCAGTATTTTTAGTGATTGGTCAAATAAGCAATCAGCAGGGAACTCATGTTGCCTTTCTGCAGCCCCTTCTGTTGATTCTGGCCAGCTCCTGGAGGGGCTTTTCTGCATGGTGCAAACACTGGGCTATTGGAGTGTGGTGGTGGCTGCTCTATGATCTCCTGGCAATGGCATAAATTGTGAGATACACAACATTCCTGTTTCTGACCCTGAATCAATGTGCCCCAATGTGTGTGTGGGCACAGGGCTTGCTTCCACCCTTTTCCCAAATAGCTCCTGTGGGACTGCAGAGCTTCTGGGACGTGGGGAAGGTAGGAGTGCAGTTACCCCAGCTGGAAAATTGCTGCAGTTGAGTCCCTCTTGGCCTGGAGATGTAAATGAAGACCTGGTCTGCACCCTCTCAAAGGCAATGGCACTTTACCTTCTGCAGATGGCAGCTGGAAGATAACAGGTCTGTTGAGGGGAATTTGCAGGGGCTACAGAGATTTGAGGGGCATTTGGGCTGTGTGTTTCAGAGTAGTTTCTAGGAAGACCGTGATAAATCAATACAAAAACCCTGCCTGTAAGTGTATGATATTCTCTTATTCATGGGAGAATCCTGTTCCTTGCTCCCTCTGGAGCTGAGCCCTCAGTGGTTCTGACAGCATGGAGAGGATTCGTCTCCTCTTGTGTGCTGCAGTAGGATAAAGGCAGAGCTGTAACTCTCAGTCCTACCAGGCAGCTCTGAAGACTGTAAATCCTGCATTAGGCATAAATGCAGCCATTTTGGTTATTTATAGTTATTTACACCATCCATTCATATCTGTCAGGATTGAAGGCAGTTTTGACATTGCAAGCTTCTATCAGGTTATCTTTAATCTGTTTAGAGGCACCTAAGCCACAAATATATCAAATAGCCGATCCTAATGTTGGAGTCCTCTAAAGTATGACTGAATTATTTATTTTGTTATGATGAAAATGTCTGGGCTTTATTGGGTTTTCTTTGAAGAACTTGATTCTGCTTGAAGTCTGGAAGATAAAAGATTAGTGATTGTCTCTGGAAGTTTCTTATTCTGAATCCTTCAAGGCTTTTCATTTTTCACGAGCTGCTGTTACTACTTTAGAGTCAAGGTGAGGGAGCTGAGATTTCTTTTATTCTATTAAAGAGGTTTAAGTATATAAAGAATTTTGTGCCTTGCACAGGTAAATCCAAGATGCACGTGGCAATTGGGTGAGGACAGATGTGCTGTGTGGTGGGAGCTATGGCACATTAATCACTGAGAAAGGTCCATTGATACCAGCACTGCCCAGCAGAGCTCATGTCTTGTTTG